AAATCAAACAGTGTATGGGATCCTCCTTAAAGTGTGTGCAAAATCACAGCTATCTTGGTAATCTTTCAGTCGTTTGAGTCATTTGTCAAGCAAAAATATCTTTGGGTTTGGGATGGTTGGTCGAATAAAACATGACGTCTGAATACATCACCTTTGACAGAAACTTTTTTTTCCTGTCATTTTACAGATAAAACAATTAATCGATTAATTGAGAAAAAAATCAGCAGATCAGTGGAAGATTTTTTTTAAATTTACGTTCCAGCCCCATTTAAAGTTTAATTGATTTGTTAAATATATCAGCTTCCTCTCCCCGCATAGTAATTTCCGTGTTAATATTAGAAAGACTTTCCTGGACTTTACCTGTGCAGGAAACTCTCCTTGGCTGTTTCAATCTGTAGAGTTCCTCCTTTCCATTTGGATTTGTTCAGAACCGTCAAACCTACAGAGGAAACACACTAATCACATACTGATGATACAACACAAGCGCTTATGTCAGTTATAATGGAACACAATGTAAAGGACTCGAACACAAAACAAATCATCATGTTTGAATATTTTCCAGAACCAGAATTGTTCAGTGATTTTTCTGATTCTGTTTCGTTTCAAGATACTGACATGCAGGTTAAAGAAAAGAAACTGAAGTTTGTAATCCCCCTGTCAGTAGTATTTTCTCCCGTTATAGGTAAAATAAAACTTCATGGTTGAATGACACTAAATGACATATACAGATGGATGGTTCTTGCAGTACGACAGCTGTCACTTACATTTCTTCAGATCTGCGTCTGAAATGTTGATGTTAATGTAGCCAAAAGTTTTGTAAGGAGTACCTGCAGAAGAACAGCAAGAGTCAGAGCAAATATAACTCACTGAGGAACCTCTGAAAAAAACAATATAAACAGCAAATATGATTTATACCCGATGGAACCACAACAACCAGTTCTACAAAAGAAGCCTAAAAATGTTTCTGTTCACTATAGGACGATAAATCTAATTTTGATTATCACAAACACGCATGTACTTAAAATTCACACTGAACATTTCCCAAATCTGTTTTAAGATTTCTTTTCTTCCAGGCAACCATTGGCACAAAATCATTTGGTGATGTTGTGAGCAAAAAGTTCTGTTGGTGTGTTTAAAGAAGCTAAAATGTCTACTATTTGAGGGTCAACTGATGAAAAACATGCTACTGATATATGGAGTCTGGACGGCGCTAATGGAATAATTGCAGACTTCCCCTATGTTTATTTGAAATTAATCAATTCATTGATACAAAGCTTAAAAATAATTTAAATACACTTGTGTTATGACCCTAGGCTCGTATATTTGTTTTTGTGTGTGTTCTGTGTTTCTCCTTTCTCTCTTACCACCTGGTTGTAACAACTTGGGCATTAATGAATAAAAGATTTTTCTGTAAAACGTATTCTGTCTTTAAATTTATTTTTTTTAGTTGAATTTAAAAATGGAATCAGAAACTGCTGTATTAAATGTACATTTGACATTTAATTCTTGTGATCGCTTCAATATTGCTCTTAATAAAGAGACATGTAAGTAGGCCTGTGACAAATCTTTCAAATTGATCAATTTATATATTGCAGTAATAATGCCAGTGGCAAAAGCCAGACTCCACACTGACAAACTATAGTTTTTGAAATTTAAAAGACAAACCAAATAAGCATTATTATTTCAAACTCTATTTCTTGCATTAAAAGTTGCTTTTCAATAGCTGATATTTAAGAATCATCTATCAGAGCTTCTTTGAATGCACCAAAGGGATTTTTTCAATAGTCTTTAATGATAATGCTGACCGTGATGGATTGCACATGTATGTCAAGAAAGTGTAAGATTTCAGAATGTATAAAACATTTAATACAGCATAAGAATAAACAAAATTAAATTTAAAAATTAGACATTATTGTTAACATGGCTGTCAGAGTGTGCAATGGATTCCTCACCATCCTCGTCCCTCCTGGTCCGGAGCTCCACATCCTCCACATCTCCAAACTTTCCAAATCGATCCTTCAAATCCTTCTGGGTGATCGAGTGGCTCAACCCACCGACGTACAGCCGCCGCATTGCTCCGTATCCACGTGAACAGTAACTGCACAGACAACCAACACCAAGTTAAACCATTGTCCATAAACTTGGGGGTTTTACACCCCGGCGCCTCAAGTCTGCATGTCGAGGGGTCATTGAGGAAGATACTGAACCACACATTGCTCCCAACGGCTGTGTGAATGATTACTTTCTGTGGATTGTATATACACTGCTCAAAAAATAAAGGGAACACTTAAACGACACAATGTAACTCCAAGTCAATCACACTCCTGTGAAATCAAACTGTCCATTTAGGAAGCAACACTGATTGACAATCAATTTCACATGCTGTCGTGCAAAGGGAATAGACAACAGGTGGAAATTATAGGCAATTAGTAATAAAGGAGTGGTTCTGCAGGTGGTGACCACAGACCACTTCTCAGTTCCTATGCTTCCTGGCTGATGTTTTGGTCACTTTTGAATGCTGGCGGTGCTTTCACTCTAGTGGTAGCATGAGACGGAGTCTACAACCCACACAAGTGGCTCAGGTGGTGCAGCTCAACCAGGATGGCTCATCAATGCGAGCTGTGGCAAGAAGGTTTGCTGTATCTGTCAGAGTAGTGTCCAGAGCATGGAGGCGCTACCAGGAGACAGGCCAGTACATCAGGAGACGTGGAGGAGGCCGTAGGAGGGCAACAACCCAGCAGCAGGACCGCTACCTCCACCTTTGAGCAAGGAGGAGCAGGAGGAGCACTGCCAGAGCCCTGCAAAATGACCTCCAACAGGCCACAAATGTGCATGTGTCTGCTCAAACAGTCAGAAACAGACTCCATGAGGGTGGTATGAGGGCCCGACGTCCACAGGTGGGGGTTGTGCTTACAGCCCAACACCGTGCAGGACGTTTGGCATTTGCCAGAGAACACCAAGATTGGCAAATGGCGCCCTGTGCTCTTCACAGATGAAAGCAGGTTCTCACTGAGCACATGTGACAGACGTGACAGAGTCTGGAGACGCCGTGGAGAACGTTCTGCTGCCTGCAACATCCTCCAGCATGACCGGTTTGGCGGTGGGTCAGTAATGGTGTGGGGTGGCATTTTTTTGGGGGGCCGCACAGACCTCCATGTGCTCGCCAGAGGTAGCTTGACTGCCATTAGGTACCGAGATGAGATCCTCAGACCCCTTGTGAGACCATATGCTGGTGCGGTTGGCCCTGGGTTCCTCCTAATGCAAGACAATGCTAGACCTCATGCGGCTGGAGGGTGTCAGCAGTTCCTGCAAGAGGAAGGCATTGATGCTATAGACTGGCCCGCCCGTTCCTCAGAACTGAATCCAATTGAGCCCATCTGGGACATCATGTCTCGCTCCATCCACCAACGCCACGTTGCACCACAGACTGTCCAGGAGTTGGCGGATGCTTTAGTCCAGGTCTGGAAGGAGATCCCTCAGGAGACCATCCGCCACCTCATCAGGAGCATGCCCAGGCGTTGTAGGGAGGTCATACAGGCACGTGGAGGCCACACACACTACTGAGCCTCATTTTGACTTGTTTCAAGGACATTACATCAAAGTTGGATCGGCCTGTAATGTGGTTTTCCACTTTGATTTTGAATGTGACTCCAAATCCAGACCTCCATGGGTTGATAAATTTGATTTCCATTGATCATTTGTGTGATTTTGTTGTCAGCACATTCAACCATGTAAAGAAAGGAGTATTTAATGAGATTCTTTCATTCATTCAGAACTAGGTGTTATTTTAGTGTTCCCTTTATTTGTTTTGAGAGGTGTGTGTGTGTGTGTGGTGACAGCTTCAGGAATCATCTATAACACAATATGAGTGTCAGGTGGCTCTCTCGGTCTCTCTTTATATTTATAAAAACACTTGTTTTGTCAAGTGTTGATTTAAACTATATCCTCCTAAATGACCGTAGAGTTGCATTACCTTTCTTAGACGGTTTCAACAAAAACTGAGCATTATAAGTTAACTTCATCAAAGCATGTTTTATTGTAGAGCTGCTGATAAACTGCATTAGCTGCAAGTAGGTGCACCTAAACTTGTAAGCTACAAAAATGTAACGAGAAAGATCAATAGGATAAGATTCATATGATCACAACCATATTCACAGAGGGAAAGTAAGAAACACAACGGACGCAACTTCTTGATTAGAGGATTTCAACGTCTCCAGCAGCCTGAAGAGCTTCACTGAATCTTCGGAGGAACTAAAACAGCGGCACAGAAAGTCTAAATAAACAACATCTGAAAACACATTCACTTATAACTGAGCTGTCACGATAAATCAACAGGTTTAATTTATATCGACGGAAAAACCAACTAATGTTTACCTCACATGTATCCAGCTGGTGTCACCGTTTACTCTGTCCGGGGCTGCACTCCTCCTGACGACTTTTCCTTCCGCACTTGTTTCCGCTGAAGCGAAAGGTTCCGCTGTGGTTTAATAAAAACAAAACAAAAAAACAAAACAAATGAAGCCAGAAAGGGGTGCCTGTACGTTTATCTATAACAATGTGTGATTATGATGGTTAATCAATGAATAACTAATTATGTTTCTATTGATTAGCTCAACGACGTAATAATCATTCTCGATTACCAACATCTGTGAGTTTACGGATAATTTACGGCTTTCTATGTAGAGGGGGTTCTCGCAATTCCTAGATCTAACAGCTTTTTGTTTTGTGCCTTTTAACAATAGTAAAGCGCTAACGTGTAATTTTTAGGTATATACGTATAGAAATTTGCGGCATTTGTAAAAACTATGAGGCACAGTTTCTGACTCTTCTTCACAAGAATCGCCTCCCACCCCCCTACACGCGTTAAGTGGTAGAGTCCGGAGGGCGCGAGGCTCCAAACTCTTTCGGTTGTCAGGTTGAAGAAACTTGAATCACTGAGGTGAGGAAAAGTGTTTAGTTTTTATAAAGCAGTAACACCTGTTTATATTTGTGAATTTAACACTTTAAAGTAACTATTTATTTACTAAACGGAGACGAAGTTTAGACACGACAGTTTGTTTAACCTCGCCTAACGTTAACGTTAATTCGTCACCTCAGCCAACGTTAACTAGATTTTACTGCTGTGGATAAAATTTAGAGCGTATTTCTTTTATAACTTAGCCTGCCAGGCACGCTTTGAGGTGGGAAGTGCATAATATTTCAAACACAGTGGGGAAAAAACAGACTTCTAACGTTATTTGTAAGTTTATTCCAGTATCATTTGCACTCTGCTCATTACACAGTTGTGTCAATCTGGCTACATTGTTGTTGTTTTGGTTAATGGTGTGTGTGTTCAGTAGACTGTAGTTTGTGTCTGATTATTGCTTCTATGAGTAGGCACATCGTGAGCAATGTATGAGCCATAGTCAAATTCCTGTATGTATACATACCTGTCAAATGTTCGCAATTTCCCCTCGGGTTCAAGAAAGATGTATCTATATCTATCTAACTAATCTGTCTAAAGCTGATTCTGATTTACCTCGTTACCAGACTAAAATATCATAGCCTTTTAATGCTTGTGGTCCCATAATATATTCACTTTATATTTTTGACTTTTTTATATTAAAAAGTCAAGTCTTAGATAGCACCCTCTCACCTTGCAAGTATATTGTTTATGCCCTTTTCTGACAGTTGTCTTAGGGCTGCAAATAACAATTATTTTCATAGTCGACTGTCTGTCGATTTTTTTGACTAGTTGTTTGGTCCATAAAATGTCAAAATGGTGAAAAATGTTGATCAGTGTTTCCCAGAACTCAAGGTGATGTGCTCAAAACTCTTGTTTTGTCCAACACCCAAAGATTTACATTACATTTACTCATTTAGCTGACACTTTTATCCAAAGCGACTTACAATTGCTATATATATCAGCGGTCGCACTCCTCTGGAGCAAAAAGGGGTTAAGTGACATTCTCAGGGACACCAGAGATGATATATAGGGCTTTGGGGACACATTGCTGGATGTGTCAGACTGGGAATTCAGATAGAGATTCAGTTTACTGTCATAGAGGAGCAAAACCCCCCCAGAAAAGATTAATATTTAAGAAACTGGAATCAGAGGATTTATACTCAAACCAATTAATCGATTATCAAAATAGTTGGCGATTAATTTATTAGTCGACAACTAATCGATTAATCGACTAATCCTTGCAGCTCTACTAATTTGCCTGTTCATGTTGTTTGTATTGTATTCATTGGTGTTTTTATGCAGTTCTCTTCACCCACTGACACTTCCAAATGCTTTTTTAATTCAATCTGTCTGTCTGTCTGTCAATCAGGATGGAGGAGAAGATGAGCGAGGAGAACATTGAGGATGTGAGATCACTGGAGGCTCAGATTGAGTGTCTCCAGGCTGAAGTTGCAGCGTTGCAGCGCCACCAGCAGGACATCCACAAGGAAATAACATTCCACTTCAGTGGACAAATGCAGGATGCCATGTGAGTTTTATTTTTATTCTTAATTAATTTTTAAATCTTTCCTACTGAACTTACTATTGATGACCCCTGGGTGGTGCAGAGGTGTGTGGTTAAGTAAAAAAATGGTAATCAGAAGTGCTGAACTGTAAATGAACAGCCCATCTCCACAGGTTGTACATGTGTGGACAGAGACAAGAAGGGGGGAAGGAGAAGGTGCTGTCCAGACTGAAGGAGGAGCTGGAGGAGCTGGAGGAGGACCTGAAGCAGCAGACACGCATGAATGGCATCAGCCTGGACAGCTGCACCAGAAAGACTCTGCAAAGCAGTAAGAGTATAGCTCTGTCTGAATCCACAGCTTTCTCTGTTTTCTGACGTTTTATAGGTGAAATGAATCAATGAACCAGGAAAATTACCAGCAAATTAGTTGCAACCCTAATTCTTCATATGTACAGTATACTCACTGGCCACTTTATTAGGTACACCTTGCTAGTACCGCGTTTGCCTTCAGAACTGCCTTAATTCTTTGTGGCATACTTTCAACAAGGTGTTGGAAACATTCCTCAGGTCCATATTGACATGATAGCGTCACAGAGTTGCTGAAGATTTGTCGGCAGCACATCCATGATGCAAATCTCCCGTTCCACCACATCCCAAAGGTGCTCTATTGGATTGAGATCTGGTGACTGTGGAGGCCATTGGAGTACAGTGAACGTCATGTTCAAAAAAACAGTTTGAGATGATTTGAGCTTTGTGACATGGTGCATTATCCTGCTGGAAGTAGCCAACAGAAGATGGGTACACTTTGGTCATAAAGGATGGACATGGTCAGCAGCAATACTCAGGTAGGCTGTCATGTTTAAACAATGCTCAATTGGTACATAGGGGCCCAAAGTGTGCCAAGAAAATATCACCCACACCATTACACTACCACCATCAGTAGGAGTGGGAATCTCTGGGCACCTCACGATTCGATTTGAGTACGATTCAGAGGGCTGCGATGAGATTATAAAACAATTATCGATGCATCACTTATTTCAATACCGGATCCCTGGATGATTACTAAGCATTTCAGGGCGCCAACATGCCCAGCCCTATATTTATTACAGTGGGGAGAACAAGTATTTGATACACTGCTGATTTTGTAGGTTTTCCTACTTACAAAGCATGTAGAGGTCTGTTGTTTTGGTTAATGGTGTGTGTGTTCAGTAGACTGTAGTTTGTGTCGGATTATTGCTTCTATGAGTAGGCACATCGTGAGCAATGTATGAGCCATAGTCAAATTCCTATATGTATACATACACTGCTGATTTTGTAGGTTTTCCTACTTACAAAGCATGTAGAGGTCTGTCATTTTTATCATAGGTACACTTCAACTGTGAGAGATGGAATCTAAAACAAAAATCCAGAAAATCACATTGTATGATTTTTAAATAATTTGCATTTTATTTCATGATTAAGTATTTGATACGTCAGAAAAGCAGAACTTAATATTTGGTACAGAAACCTTTGTTTGCAATAACAGATCATAAGTTTTCTGTAGTTCTTGACCAGGTTTGCACACACTGCAGCAGGGATTTTGGCCCACTCCTCCATACAGACCTTCTCCAGATCCTTCAGGTTTCGGGGCTGTCGCTGGGCAATAAGGACTTTCAGCTCCCTTCAAAGATTTTCTATTGGGTTCAGGTCTGGAGACTGGCTAGGCCCCTCCAGGACCTTGAGATGCTTCTTATGGAGCCACTCCTTAGTTGCCCTGGCTGTGTGTTTCGGGTCGTTGGACGCTGAAAGACCCAGCCACGACGAATCTTCAATGCTCTTACTGAGGGAAGGAGGTTGTTGGCCAAGATCTCGCGATACATGGCCCCATCCATCCTCCCTCAATACGGTGCAGTCATCCTGTCCCCTTTGCAGAAAAGTATCCCCAAAGATTTTTATCCATGACAGCGTAGTGTGTTACTAATGGTTTTCTTCGAGACTGTGATCCCAGCTCTCTTCATGTCATTGACCAGGTCCTGCTGTGTAGTTCTGGGCTGATCCCTCACCTTCCTCAAGATCATTAATGCCCCACAAGTGAGATCTGGCATGGAGCCCCAGACCGAGGGAGATTGACCTTCATCTTGAACTTCTTCCATTTTCTAATAATTGCGCCAACAATTGTTGCCTTCTCACCAAGCTGCTTGCCTATTGTCCTGTAGCCCATCCCAGGCTTGTGCAGGTCTACAATTTTATCCCTGATGTCCTTACACAGCTCTCTGGTCTTGGCCATTGTGGAGAGGTTGGAGTCTGTTTGATTGAGTGTGTGGACAGGTGACTTTTATACAGGTAACGAGTTCAAACAGATGCAGTTAATACAGGTAATGAGTGGAGAACAGGAGGGCTTCTTAAAGAACTAACAGGTCTGAGAGACGGAATTCTTACTGGTTCGTAGGTGATCAAATATTTATGTCATGCAATAAATTGCAAATTAATTATTTAAAAATCATACAATGTGATTTTCTGGATTTTTGTTTTAGATTCTGTCTCTCATAGTTGAAATGTACCTATGATAAAAATGACAGACCTCTACATGCTTTGTAAGTAGGAAAACCTGCAAAATCAGCAGTGTATCAAATACTTGTTCTCCCCACTGTATAATAATATTTTTTTTTACATTCAGGATTCAGAATCTTCCACGTCCGCATCGCAATGCATCTAAGAATCAATTTTTTTTACCTAGCTGCCAGCCTGAACCGTTGATACAACGCAGGATGGATCCATGCTTATATGTTGTTGACGCCAAATTCTGACCCTACCATCTGAATGTTGTAGCTGAAATGAGTATTATGTAGCTGCAGTACCGGAGGCTGCAGTTTCAGGACCGCAATCTATGACCAGAACTGCATTTGTAGGACCCTTGTTTTCTTTGACACTGTGTGGTGATGGGGCTGTGGATAAGACACATGCCTTTGGTGTGAGAGACCCGGGTTCGAATCCACTGTGAGACACCAGTGTGTCCCTGAGCAAGAGACTTAACCCCTCGTTGCTCCAGAGGCGTGTGACCTCTGACACAAATAGCAATTGTAAGTCACTTTGGGTAAAAGCTAAATGAATAAATGTAAAAAAATAAATAAAAAAAAAGTAAATCCCAACTAGCTGGCCGGATAGCAATACTGCAGCTATATAATTTTGGCTGAAATCGAGACTCATCAGGCAATGTTTTTCCAACCTTGTTTTGTCCAATTTTGGTGAGCCTGTGTGAATTGTAGCCTCAGTTTCCTATGCTTAGTGGACAGGAGTAGCACCCAATATGGTCTTCTGCTGCTGTAGCCCATCTGCTTTAAGGTTTGATGTGTTGTGCGTTCAGAGATCTTATTCTTCATACCTTGGTTGTAACGAGTGCTTATTTGAGTTACTGTTGCCTTTCTGTAATCTCGAACCAGTCTGCCCATTCTCCTCTGATATCAACCAGGCGTTTTCGTGCCGGTCACTGGGTATTTTCTCTTTTTCAGACCATTCTCTGCAAACCCTAGAGTTGGCTATCCCTAGAGATCAGCAGTTTTTGAAATACTCAGACCAGCCCGTCTGGCACCAACAACCATGCCACAAAGTCTCTTGAATCCCCTTTCTTCCCCATTCTGACGCTCGTTTTGAACTTAAGTAAATTGTCTTGAACACTTCTACATGCCTAAATACATTGGGTTGCTGCCATGTGATTGGCTGATTGAACAGGTGTACCTAATAAAGTGGCCAGAGAGTGTATATTGTTCCTATTATTTACCCATAGTGTTACTACAGTTTAGTACCCTGTCCCCATGCTTCTTACTATCATGGCCACACAAGGTTAAAGGTACCCTGTGGAGTTTTTAGCCACTAGCAGTGCTATGGAGCAATGCTGAAGATTGCAGTGATCGAGAGTTGGCAGTGGTAACGCACCATGAAATGTGCCACCAAAGGCAGGGAAGAACACTGTCCACATGTAAACAATACAATATTTTAAATATTGAAACTTCAACTTTGCAGGAAATGAATATATTCAACACTTTTGTTAGTCCTCAAAGATGAACAGAATGCATTCATTGTGGTGAGAAAGACTGGATGTAATCCTAACATTTGTTTGTTTACAAGAAAACTCCACTGAGCACTTTTAAATGGGTCACTCACACTCTAAAAATGTACCTTCATTGGTGTGTTTGTGTGTCTAGTAGGTGGCAGTAAGCTGGTCCAGCAGCTCTGTGTATCAGGTCACTGCTCAGAACTGGTCTTTCAGGTGGAGTTCCAGCTCTCTGAGGTCAAGGTAAGTAATTTCTTTCATTCAGATAATCCGTTGTAGAGATGGAGGGTCTCTGGTCCAAACCCCACTGTGGCCACCATTCCTGTTTGCTGATAAATCTCCCTCTGGAATTCCATTTTCCAGACTGATACACAGTCCATCCAGTTTCTCCTTTGATTTCTGTATTATTTTCAAACAACTTTATCTCTGTATCCAGTATCCAGACATCAAAAACAACTCTAGCCCAAACCTCAGTCTCAAGAAGATTATATTGTCCACAATATTAGTAAAAACAGTAAACTCAACAGCTGTACTGATGAGCTCTGCACGCGATTTCAGAGAATATTTTTAAATTTAGACGTGTAAATGAAAAGGCATTAAAGCATGCACACACTTGTATGCTTTACTTTTGCACAATTTATTGTCTAAGCTTTTTGTCAAGCAGTGATCAATGGTGCTTTTTATTTTCATGTTTGGATCCAGCACATTTTAGATTTTCTTTTAGAGTGATCTAGTCTAGAAATATGTATACACATTTTTAGAGAGACAAAGGGCATGTTGAAAATGGTTCTGGTAGTTGACTTTGTTATTGGGAACTGATGCTGTTTCCTGCCAGCAGAGAGCGACAGAGGGCCATGTTCAGTGTTTCACTGGTGAGGTATAAAGTGCACAGTTTAGATTTTAGAAGCTCCTCAGACCTCAGCAGCAGCTGTCAGACATGCAAAACACTTAAACAAGGAAAAATCATGGTCAGGTCTTAAGTCATCCAATCGGACATTAGACCAAACTGCCTCAGAGGAAGAAACTGTCAGGTGGTTTTAGGTAAAGTCGTGTCCCTGGCAACAATAACATCTCTGGTTTAAATGTCATCTTTTCAGAATAAAAGCACTCTTCTAAAAGTGTTTTGTATTTTATGGTGTCTCACACTAAGTTAAAGCTCCGATTAGAAAACTATACATTTTAACATGTCTCATTTTATTCTTCATACACAAGTATAAAGAATAAATGAGCAGCTGTGGCTTAGAGGTAGAGCGGGTCGTCCACTAATCAGAAAGTTTGTGGTTTGAACCAAAGGTCCTCCAGTCTGCATGTTGAAGTGTCTTTGGGCAAGATATTGATCCCCAAGTTGCTCCTCATTGCAGTGCCATCGGTGTGATAGTGTGAATCAGAATGTTATACATAAACTGATGGAAGTGGCTGCTATACCGACTGCTCCTCAGATGGTGACTGTGTGTGTGTGAATGGGTGAATGTGACTTGTAGTGTAAAGCGCTTTGAGTGGTCGGAAGACTAGAAAGGCGCTATACAAGTACAGAAGAGCTGGGTATCCTTTTGAAATATTTTGATTCTTGTACTGATATGATGCCCATGTTTCAGAAGTGATAATAAAATGATCACTTTGACAAATAGAAATGTGATCTTGAAATAAAGTACAGGCTAAAACAACTTGAATTATGATTAAATCAGGTACAATATGTTATTCAAGATTATGAGTCTGACCAGACATTTAATACCAACTTTCAGTTGTTGCATGTATCAATATGTGGCTTATGAGGCTTGTTAGAGCCACACTTTGGGCCGTCACAGTTTAACTAAAATGATGGTTGACCCTCAACATCAGCCGATAAAAGTCAGCATTAATCATAATTTTATTGTAGGGTGAATCTGTATTGTGATCTGTAAACCAGCTTCATGTAGACCCAGCAGTCTTCTGGCTTTCATCCTAACTGGATTAACCATCAGAACAGCTGGTTTCATTGATACACTCCTGGCTCATGAAGTGTCATTAAACTGAAGTTTTGACTTGTTTTGATAAAGACATTAATTATTTGGCTGTGTATTGAGTCATTTTGTAAACACAATCTGTTCTAACCCTTTATTTTATTTTGATTAATACTTAGATTTTATATTGCAACATGATGTGAGCTAGTACAGCTTACAGTAACCTATAAAAGTGCCTTATTGGTGCAACTTGTAACCCTTGCAATACCATCCATAGATATGATTTATGCCCCCCCCACCCCTAAATATGGAACCCCTTTCTCCTTAACATGGCGATAGATGTTTAAAGGAATAGTTCAACATTTTGGGGAAACGTACTTACTTTCTTTCTTCCTGAGAATGAGATTTTTTGAGAAACCGTTGCCTGGCTCTTTCCAAAGTTTAAAAAATACACCTAGCAACAGCTCACTAATTAAGATGTTGTATCATGTTTGTTTAATCAGAACACAAACAGAAATATAAAGACCGCAGTTTGTGGATTTAGGGGCACTTATGTGTTGGAAAGACTCATAAGTTGCCACTTTATTAGGTACACCTTGCTAAAACTAATGCAGCCTCATACAACAGTAATGAATTGCCAACAGTGTGTATTTCTTGTTGACAAACAGCCGGTTGCAGTGACAATGAGCAGCTTCCTGAAGTCTTTTTGTCACTGTGTGGTTGAATAGCTGTTACTATATCTATGCTAATCTATACTAATGTTCTTTTTAATGTTTTTTCCCTTAATTTACCTACATGCACTGTGAATAAGCAGGTCTGTTTTTAAATGAGTAATGATGGTGTGTTTTGGCCTGTAGAATGGTGAGAGATCTGAGAGGACAATCAGTGATCTGAATGTGGTCATGGATGCCAGCGACCTGCAGAACTTCAGCAGTTTCCTATCTGGGTAAGAAACACTGCATATTGATGTTAAGCTGATCTGGGGGGAAAAATCATGCCCACTCCTCCTCCTTGAGGATGTTCTACCACATCATCTCCACTGATCCTGTTTGTGAGTTGTCGCATGCATGTGGAGTAAACCTTTTCTTCAGCAAAACTTTTTAGAGTGACCAACCTTTAGTTGTGCCATATAGACCTGCTCTATATGAAAATTGCCCTGAGATAACCTCTGTTACAATTTGGCGCTATATAAATAAAACTGAAACGAATATTGAGGTTTTTCAGATTTCTCAAGCTTATAATTTATTATAAGGATGATTAATTACTTGTTATAATCAACATTAATGAAATGTGTAAAAATGCATATCTATTCTGTTTAACAGACTTTTTTTCATTCATTTCTGATCTTTAATAAACTGCACCCTCACACTCCAATACATTCTAAAGGTGCACTCATATTTGTCTTGAGTTCAGTGAACCTGTTGTGATGTAATGTCCACTGAAGGTAATGCATAAATATTAAATGAGTGAATATTAAGCATGCAACATTTGCTCTGTGCATTTATTCCATCCTAATTAGGAGCAGTGGTCAGCTGTTGTGCATGCCCGGGGAGCAGTTAGGGGTTCAGGGCCTGAAACTAGAAGCATTGAGGCTGTTAGAGCAGCAGGTTGATGCCCATGGTTTCGGAAGCGCAAATTCAATTATCATATATGGCTACACATTCTGATATCCATATGTGTATTTTCACGGGGGTGAAGCAGAGCTGAGCGGCCACTCAGTTTGTAATTTATTTACACTATGTGTCTGTTCAGTCCAACTCTTTCACTTAATATTGGATATTATTTCTGTGAGGATGAAGCTGTCTGTTTAGTTCTACTCTAGTGTTTATTAAAGTAGAAGAAGATGTCAAACAGTGTTGTCCAGCTGATCTTCCTTACTCATGTATCCCACACACAACAAGCCTTTCTCACAGCCGTTTGACTTGTCAAACACAGGTGTAACTCATTACATTCACAACGGCTGCATTCCATTTAGGTGTGCTGACTTACTGGCACACCTGCCTGTAAATGGAGCACAGCCATCATAAATATTAGTTACACCTGTTCTTTTTCTGTTGTGACTGTTCAAAATCTGGGCTGTTGATATTTACTCAGCAATGTCTAAACTAATGAGCTTTGGTCATTATTTCTTTCCGACCAGGTGCTTATTTGATGTTTTTTCCCCCCAGCTTTTTCCAGTTTTATTCAACTGAAAAAAGATGTATATTATGTCAGAAACAAACAAGCCCACAACACGAGAGCTGGTTAAAAAAATAAATAAATAAAAAATTGTATATATGTAAATATTAAAAATTAAGGGATGAAAACTAAATAAATCAATGCAATGAGAGACACAAGTTAAAAATTAAATAATTATAATAGTACAAAACAAGATAAATAAGGACAGGATTAGAAAAGATCAATTCAGGGGGTTTCATCAAATATTTTTCTGTAATCATGTAAGAACCTGCTGCTTTTTTAAAATGGAGTTAAATTAAATTTTTCAATATTTTCTCAGAGTGAATAAAGAATTTCCTCATAACATGAAAACATTTACGACATGGTTTAGAGATTTGTTACTGATATTGTCATAACAAATTTAAATATTTAAGAATAAAACAGCGAATGACATTAGTGGTATTGAACAAATGAGAATTTACATCAGACCAAAATCTTATTGTTCCACACTGAAAGAATAAATGTCCACAAAAAGAACAAGAGTTATCACCATCCAACCTACCAGGTGCTTTTTAACCTTCCGGATCTTGTCTATTAAATCACAGTAAAAGAGGGGCCAGAGAATTCAGCTGAAACATTTTTTTTAACCCAAGCAGACAGACATAATCTAATTCTGAGCAGTTTTTATTTTTTTATTTTTTTTATTAACAAACTATGAATTTAGTTGGAATTGGAAATCACCAGTATTAACATCATATGTCAACAAGAATCTATGTAATTATGCATACAATGAACAGAACAGTAATTTAGTGTGTAGTCCCTCTTTAATGTTTGGAAGAACAGAGTAAAACCGTTGTTATGTTATTTGTTATTATTTGTCTTTAACATTGTAGCTGCTCTTTTCTAATTCCCCCCAAAATGTATTCATAACGAGCTATTTAAAAAAAAAAAAAGAGTAAGATAATGTCACCATCGATGTTGAATCTTTCAAGAGAATCACTGCAGCGAAAAATCAATACATTTTCCAGTCATGCTGTCGCATCCAGTGGCCTTCGCTTGTGTCAGTACTGGTTATTTTTTAAATAACCAGAACTGACAATACACGATTGGCATGTGTTTTGGCATGCAACAAAGCAGTTTGCCTTGAATTTCTGGTGAACTCCAGTCTCACGCTTGCTGACACTATTCATCAGGAGCACCTGCTTTGTTCTTAACTCCTATTACTTCTAAGTGAAGCTCTCTCATTGTGTTAATATACACTAAATGTGTTTAAGGTGTTGTGTTAATGTACTCTGGTGCATTTTCTGTCCTGATAACCACAGTCTGCCAGAAAGTGGATCAGCACCACTGAGCAATAGTCTGATTTGCCCTATATCTGAGGCCAAACCACATCTGGATTGTATGGTCCAGTCTGCAGAATCTGGCAAAAAACGGATGGAAAAATACTGGAGATAATGATTCTGACACACTGCTGCCTTCTCCAAGTCTGTCTGTGTGTGTGAGAGAGAGAGAGAGAGACAGAAAGAAAGAAAGAGAAAGTCAGTCATAGTTTTACAGTTCAAATCAGACCAATGTTCTTTGTTAAATCAAGCTGCTAAAGGTAAATACTGACACTGATTTTTATTTTTTATTTAGCATTTACATTTATTAATTTAGCTGACGCCGTTATCCAACTAGCAACAAGGGGTTAAGTATCTTGCTCAGGGACACATTGTGTCGTAGTGTGGATTTGAATCCCGGTCTCTCTTGCCAAAGGCATGTGTCTTATCCACTGGCCCATCACCACCCCAGCAGGTAGCAGACACGTCGTTTCCACATCTGCCCTCAGTCTCTCTGACGTGGTTTCTTTGTTAGTATTCAAAGTAACACGGTGTCTGCACAAGCTGTGTAAAAGCAGCAAGTCAGTTCAGCTTCAGTCCTCTGTCAGAATCACTGTAGTTACATGTGTAAGACTGAAGAAAATAGACTTGAAGCCCAAATGTTTATGTTGCCTGTTTTCCACTTACTATTTAAGCCGGAATATTAAAAACAGTGAATTGTCTAAATGACATCAACTTAAAGGTGAATTTTGCTGTATTACCACACAGTATAGGTGATCACAGATAGTAGGAAGGTATTGGAAAATGTACTGTGCACATCGTTTTCTCATGTAAACAGCCTATAAAAAATTGTAGACTTGGTCTCACTTTTATCAAACTGTTCATCAGTTGAAAACTATCTGCAAGTGACTAAGATGTGGAAATCCTGTTGAGGCAGTGCATTGTGGGATGGGCTTAGAGGATTCAAGGCAGACTGGATTATGTCAAGCTTCCTTATGAACATCTGCCATTAAAACAGAGCTTTGCTGTTGTCTTGAGGGGATCCAAGCCAACTCATCCATGAACTGTTTTGACTCCCAGCCTGCAGTTGAAGAAACACTGATCCAGGCTGTCAGGTTTCTGAAGTACAGTTTGTGTTTCCTGGTCTAAGCCAGGCTGATAATATGAGGCCAAACAGTGCAGCAGCAGGAGATATCAGTCAGCTCTGAAGCTAAAAGGGAGATTTACAGCATACATTTGTGTATTTTGGACTGTGTAAACTAGTTTTCCTGTGTAGTCATAAAAAAAATGGATTTCAGATTTAAAGATGACTGACTCTGATTTGTTTTTTGTGTGGATACGGCTAAACATTGAATTATTTAAATGACATGGGGTTCTTAAAATCAAAGTATTCATCTTCTGGGGAACATGAACGTGATCAGTACATTTTATGGTCTATCCATAGATAGTTGGAAAAACATCTGAGCCAATCTGAGCTTTGTTAGGCATGATGAGGACTAGATTTCATCCTCCTTTGTCAGAATCACAAAAACTTGATGAGCTGGTCGCAGCCATACAGGTTGTTGTAACACAACTCACAGAAATAAATAAATAAATATACATTTTATATCAAAATATTTGTTTGATAGACACGACAAAGGTTAAGTTAACTGTTCTACCACCCACACAGCTTTTTTGTCAACTTAAAACCACACTGGTAGTTAAATTTACTGGGTAGGTCTGATTTATGAGGGTAAAAAGTTTAAGGAGTGAACAGACCCATCTTCAGGGGACCATGAACATCCAAAGCAAAAATGATAGTAATTTGGTCAGTATTTGTTAAGATATCCAGGCCCAGTTTGTCTTCAAGAGATGTCGATCAATGCGTTTTATTCTACATTCAAATTACTCTTTGAAACTTGGAATAAATAAAACTTTCGATCTGCAGTGATCTGTCCAAATTCAAAATTCACTCATTCAGGACTAAATCAGTTCAATACAACAATATCAAACTAAGGATCAGTCTCTCTCTCTTTTTATTTTTGGGAGTGCTTCATTATATGGGAGGGTGCTGCCATGTTTCCATCAGCTCTGTGTGGAATAACAGTCATCTGGAAACTTCACCCGGCTGCCGTCTAGCCCCGGGCCCCCATGGAAAACTCTGGAAAGCCTTTCACAGATTGTCCCAGGCTCACTCAGACAGAGTGAACCAGACAAAACAAATATTTAAGTGATCTTGCTATTGTGTTGTACAGCATATTGTATATAAGTAAGAACCTTTTTTTGTAAGTGATGTTTTACAGTTTTGTGGTGGGTGGCCAGGATTTACTCTACTTTTTTTGTATGAGAGGTAGAACATTTGGAGATGCAACAAGGTTATGCTTTTTGAGTGTATTACCTATAGAAACTTTCTAAAGAAGCTTTTATTCTTAATTTTTGTCACCATTAAGTTCGTTCATTGAGAAACATTTCTTAAGCCTCCATAATGTTGGAATAATGCGACAAAAGTTGTTCAAATTTAACCCTCTGCAGGGAAGACCGACTCTTTTGGTAATTGTGCTTTATATTAAAATAGCAGATTGTCCCAGATAGCATAACTGAATAATAATGAGTCACTTGTTTAAAGTTCTTGTGTTTATCATTGAGTGAAAAGCAAATTCTTGATTACAAAGTGTTCCCATCTTCTATAAGTTGCTTAAAGTGCATCTGAAGTTAAAGGTTCAGTGTGTAAGTTTTAGTGGCATGTAGTGGTGAGGATTGCAACCAAATTGCTCAGTCACCTCTCCCCCCTCCCTTTGCAAGTGCGTAGGAGAAGCTACGGTGGCCGACACGTTCATGTGCTGAATAATATTTGTGCACCTCCATTTGTCCAAATTTCGCGTATCTTTTTACTTCTAATGAACCAAATGACGACGACTTCTTCGTCATTCGTATGTATTCAACGTAGTGACGAAACGCTCTCTGTAGAGTAGTAGTAAGGGTGGACCTAGGGTGTATGTAGATAGAAATGGCTCTAAGGTAATAAAAACATTTAGGTTCATTATGTAAGGTATTTATACACCACTGAAAACAAGTTATATTAAGTTATGTATATTATATTGCATTTCTGTCAATCTGTCCTCCTAAATATTACACACTGGACCTTTAAGTTCAGATGGATTGTCATTAAAAGTTTGTACAGATATTAATTCATGACCCTGACCCTGACCTTTCCTCTAGTGCGACCCACCGTTGGAAATGTTAATTTGTCCAGTAATTTGGTTTATGACCAAATACCTGCAAAACTAATGATACTCCCATCAACCTCAACTTCATTTTACAGTTTGTCCTTTTCCAATACTGTACAATTGTTACCTTTTTTGGAAGTCTCTCATTTGCTTAATTTTGCCATCCATTTTTCAGTTCAATGATGTCACGTTTTTGTTATGGATATTTTGATAAACCTTTACTGATTGATCATTCAAATCATCAACTTTGAGGGCACAGAACTATCCATCCATCCATCGTCAACTGCTTACTAACTAATAAATATAAAATCCCTAACACATTTTTTAATGATATTTTCAATATCGTTTCAGGGTGGAGGAGAGCAGGGATCTTCTGCTGTTCTTCAGAACTCTCAGGACTTTCTCAGATAGATGTGACGACCGGCGTAGAACCTTCCAACACTTCCAGGTAAGTGAAGACAAACCTGCACCAAAATGGACTTCTAACTGGCAAACTCGCCTTTACATGCCGGCTTTCCATGGTAGTGTTGAATTATTTTAACATGTGAAAAGTATTTGTTCCTCACAATGAATACGGAGGACTGACTGTATTTGGCCAGTTCATTCCTTTCCTCTGACACAGTGTGTTTAACATGACTTATCAGTTTTTCGAAACATGACATGAACGTATTTTGGCCCAGTGGGGTTGCTGCAGGTTTTCTTAATTATTTGTACAGTATATACATCTAGAAACACACATTTTAAACTTTTTTCTCAATGATATCTCTGTATCATTTGTGGGTGACAAGACGCATCAGTCCATCCTGAGTTCTTTCAGTGGGGAGACCAGATGTTCCATCAGTCAGTGTGAGTGCAGGCAGACCTAAAATAGGAACTTCTGCTTGTCCACTACTGGTTTCACCCTCATCCATCAGTTGAGGAGCCTGGTTGTCTTGTCCCATTTAGAAGAAGGGACTGGCTTTAGGTTTTACATTTCAAAAAGTAAAATTCTTACACTGACTTTGCATTGGCAACCTCATCAGCCACTGTTCCACCCACAGGACTCTAGCATTATGTGCAACTTTGACTTATTTTTGGTTATTGTACTTATTTTCAAAAAGAACACCTTTGTTGGATGATTATACAACTGAAGCCTTAAAACATGGTGTCTCACTACCTTCATGGATTTGGGCTTCCAAACCAAAATATGAAAATCGGTATCAATGCTGTTCTTCTGGAGAATTTGGGGGAAACTTTGGAAATTTGTAAGCACACAGATACAGTAGCTGGATGGACGGCTGGATGAATGGTTGGACATATAGATACTATAGATATTAGGGATGGGTCATGATTTTCAAAATGTTGAATAGTTAAAATATTAAATATGTTTATGTGACTATTGTCTTGTCTTAAAAAATATGTTTTCCTTTGTTTTTACCGGTAGTAATGCTTCACTACCAGGCATCGGTAAAATGCGTGTGGCAGGTTCACGTTGGGTACAGCGCTGTGAGATGGGCTAGATGCTCAGGTTGCAGCCTAATAGTGTTAAGGTCATGTATTGTGTTCGGTGCTGCAAATGAAATAAAGACCACAACATCTCGCTAACATCCTTCATCAGCAGAGAGGTTTTAGACTGCATTTTTAGTACAGTGTGAGGCCAGACTTAGCCTGCGTATGTGGGTTTTCTTCTGTAGTCCCTGTTACAGAGAATATTGTAAAAAAGATGGTTGACAGTTCTACATCAACATCTACAATGAATAAGATACCATGACACCTCCAAAAAACACCACTTATACAGGAGCTATTGTTTGTAAACTATTTAGAGTAGAAACATGAAGGCTAATGCAGCGGGTGTGAAATAGTGTGGGCATGGTAAATGTCAGGGTGGGACTTTATTGAAGAGGTAGCAGTAAAATGTCAAATAGTTAATCAAGCTGCAGAAGCAATATGGAACCTATTCTCCTGTTTACTTGGAGAATGTAATGTTCTGCCAAGTTGGCCGGGCTGAAGGAGGATTAACCCACATTTTCCATACTGGCCTGCATGCTCTAAACTCTTATTTTGCTTTACTTGCATTTTCTTTAGTGTTATTATGGAAAAATGTAATTCCCATTGTAACCACTCTGCTGTAATGTGTGCAGTGCCGTGAATGCTTATTTCCATGCTTTAATGACACACAGACATGAACATATATTTAAAGGAAAAAACAAATAAAGATTTAAATCACAAAGAATTCACATACAATCCTGGCCAGGAATCTTAACATTTTTGTTGGTGGTAGACCACAACGTTAGCCAGCCAGTCACTGCAGCACTACAGATGATTGTTGGCTACATAGCAGTTACAAACTGCAGACATTTACAAGCATGTGGCCAATCACTGATTGGCATTTCTCCATTGAGGACATACAGTATTAGTGTTAAATGTCCCTGCTGCACAAACATGCACATACTCTACAGTCAGCTGTGGGGATAGTGTTTTTGTTGTACTAATTGTGTGGTTTAAAGATATGGTGATATCAGTTTCAGCACTTTGCAAAGACCAAAATCTATAGCTCTAATGATATTCTTATGGGTCATATATGTATTTGAGAGTTTTAAACATTTAAAAACAATATATTGGTCAATATTTGCCTTTTTGATTTAATATAAACATTTTGGTAAGTAATTATGACATGTACTGAGGTGGACATTTTACAGTTTAAAAATAAACTCTGCCGTGAACTCTGGTGAACAAGCAGTGTAACGAAGACAAGGTTTCAAAATATTCTAACATTAGAGGTTTTGCCCTCAGTGCAGTTTAGGCTAAATATTAAAAACGCTTTGCCTTACATATTAAACTGACTCCAACAATGATTCCAAACACATTTTTAATTAAAAAAGTTTAACTTTATTACAATATCATGTCACATACACATCTTCCTGTACACCACTGTCTTATTCACATCAGTAATCATTTCTAAAGTATTTTTTATTACTGGAAGCGAAGAGTTAGGGACACAAGCAAGACATTTTAAAAGCAGACAAAATAAAAAGGAGTAACTTTCACATTACTATAGTTCATAGATACATCTCTCCCCAGTTCACTTCAACTGGAGTCTATAAATTAAAAAAAACAAAGTAAAGCTAAGTCACAAAATGCTTAAGAAAGCCTGCATTTGGACAAGTCTGGCCATAGACTTATGTAGAGGCATTTTAATGCAGTGATAAAAATTAAATCACTTCACACAATGGCAGATGAAAATCCCACAGTGTTGTTTATTTTTCTGAGCGAACACTCAGTGAGTCATTTACAGACTATTCCTGCTGGCACACCAGGACAATCTAATGTTTATCAGCTGTCTGTGTCAGCTGGGATCAATAGTCTGACAAGCAAGACATCTCAAAGGAACAGACAATTAATTTAATGAGAAATTTTAACAATGCTCACAGGCTATTTTCCTTTTTCTGTTTTTTGTCATGTAATAATCTTGCTTGTAAGACACTGTCCCTCCTATTCTCATCAAGACTAAATTATTAACTACAAAAAATACAGATTGGAATGTGCTTTACCCAAAAACATCTATAATCATGGTCTGTTTCTTAAACTAACATTTAATTTCAGTGGTGACAGTATGTCAACTTCTGTTTTTAAAACTTTTATTATTTTTGCAACGTGTTAGTCTCAAAGCCAGCCAAAATCTCACAAACTAACTTTGTCTACAATTTTAGTGTGGAAATTTTAAATGAAGCATGCAAAAGCATTAATACACATAATCAATAACCGCACTTTTGTTCAAATGAAATTCCAGATGACCCATAATGTGCATGATAAAAACTGTGATCTGGCTTAGCAAGGCAAGAGAAACATGTGGGTCATTTTAAAAGCACCTGTTAGACATTTTACTTGATGTCATATTCTAAAACATTTTGTTGTTAATTTCATGTAAAACCTCAAAATTAGAGATTTTACACTAATACAAGTTTTAGATTATCTTTTTTCTTTAGTATTTATAGTTGTAGCAAGAAAATGCTTGAATTCACTTCAGTGTGTGTGAAAAAATTTTCCTGTTGTGTTTTAAACTAATAGGTACAGGAAGTTAGAAACAAGCCTGTTGGCTTGTGACTGCATGTGTGTTGGTTCAATGTCACAAGCAGCTTGTGTAGCGTCATTCATCAAGGTATAGTATCAGATCAAAATGAAACAATAAATTGGACTGTCATAGATGTGTTTGAAGCTTCTCCACTCATTCAAGGCATTGCATCAGTTATACTGGCATTATGTAAGGACATTAAGAAGGCTATGGTGTCTTTTGAACAGGTGGCCTAAATTTATTTGTCACTTACAGTCCCATTGTCAATGCTTCAGTGTGCTTCAAACAAAGTGTATGTCAAAAGCTTTGGACAGTTGTTGTTGTCTGAAACAGAAATCTTACGAACCCTGCCTACGTGTGAAAGTAGGTGGGGTTTGAACTTCTTTGTCAAGCTCTTCCATCATTTTTCTTGGGAACATCTGAGTATAACACATGATTCAAAAGACAGAGTTGTTGGAGAGACATGAGGGAGGTAATGTGATGCAGCTACAAGGCGGCAATGACTGCAGGCTTTTCAGTTAGGATATTCATAACAAGAAGAAGCACTGATTTTAGACGCATATTGAGGTCATACTACTTCTCAGGTAGATTTGCACCAATTCATGTGACTATGACTCAACAACAACAACTCTCATGTGCATCTTTCTGCTGCTATTTAAATGTCTGGTACTCCCTACGAGTCAGTACAACAGAAGAAGGCCAGAGTAGAGAAACTCCTTCAATTCTACACTTTCAGTCCAGTGAATGGTGTCATTTTGACCTGACAATGTCACAAGCTGTTTGTAGGTTAGGTAAGTAAAAACATTGACATTGTTATCCCCACCATGGGACCAGCACCTCAAAATCTATAATGTCATGGTATTGCCCAGCACTCTGTTGTGAAAGAACTTCTCCATCAGCAACAAAGGGGCTACAGTAAAGTTTGTGCCTCCTCAGCGATACCGTCCGACAGGTAGTACCTTCATACAGGTAAAGCTGTCGGGGTACTTAGACAGCACCACAGGGTTGCCGTCCATACGGACCTCACTGAGGCTCGGGCGTAGGTAGTAGGTATCATTGGACCTGCAGAAGGTGTTGATGTTGACCTCAGTGATGTTGTTGTTCTGGAGGAAATAGAAACAGTATCAAAAGTGTAACGGATAATAAAATCTTAGCGGGTAGAGACAGAATCTTCAGGATCAGGTGAAAAGTTTTTATTAAAATCTTAGTAAATTCTAGCAAAAAAATGAATGAATGTGATCCGTAAACCAAGAACCACTTGCACAGCAACTGGTGGGTGTCAGTAGTTTCTGAAGTCAATTTATATGTGTATATTTTAGCAGTAAAATTTACTAACCTGAAGATGTAAGATCCTAACACTGTCTGGGATGTGTGGAACAGCTTCCAGCTGGTTATTTGCCAGGAACAGGTTGACCAGCTTGGTCATTTTCTGTTGGGGAAACAAATTCACACCATGGAGACTCAATAGATTTAACAGTTGTTAGTTTTCCTTTCACTGTGTGGTAAATGAAGTTTACTTACTGAAAATATACACAGCATACCTGGCCATAAACCAGATTTTCTTTGGGAATAGCAAAGTTGTGACTATGACTTAGGAATGCACTATAAAAAAAATCATATTTACATTATTTTGACATATTACAATTTTCATTTTCACTGGAAAAAAATCATAATGAAGTTGACATTTGTTGGAGTCTGTTCCAAACAAACATGTTTTCTCACATCTGGAGGACACGATTTGTGGGCCTTGGTATCTCTGCAGCACTACAATACCTAGGTTTTGTTAGCTTCTGCGATTTGCATATGCCACTTGGCCAAATTTAATTTTGATAATACCTGGATTAACTGTGCAGCCCTACTATAAATTAAATGGATCCATTAACATTTTGGAAAATGTGCTTTTTTGTTTTCTCTTTGTGATTGAGTTGAAAAGATTAATATGAATCGTATGTCTGTACATTCAGTAAGAAGCTGGAGTCAGGATGTGGTTAGCTTAGAATAAAAACTCACTAAGACCACTAATTAACACGCTGTATCTTGTCTCTTTAATGCACATACAAACAGATATGTGGTTTTAGGGGGAGTTAGGATCTGCAACTATTTCTTGTTCAACAACAGCCAGGTTTAGTGACAGCTTCCTGAAGTCTTGTCGACACATTGAGGTTGCCATTGTGCCAGTACAGAGACCATAACCAAAAGCCATGCTATAGCTTGAGCTGCTGCACAGAAAAACTGGGCGGATGGATATACTGTCAAGAAATAGTTCCAACATGTAACTCCCCTAAACTCCACAATTCTCATCTTGCTCTTGGAAGAAAGGTAATGCGCTTATTTCCCAAAATGTTACTGTTGACTTATCATTGAACTAACTAATATAGGTCTTTGAAAGTTCTGACTCCATCAAAGCTTTCCTGTAATGGTTGTCTGTAATATGTCTTATAGTCACCTGAAGTGTTGTTGCATAATATCCTGTAGTACATTGTAATTGAAATTTACAGGACACAGTACAAGATGGGGACAGCCTGTAATCATTATCAGAGCTCTTGACAGTTTCATCATTTAAGCCTTTGTTCATCCGTTTGTATCTCTCTGAAGATAACTTGGCAACAAATAGTCCCCTTAATTTTTTTTAAGTCTTCCCATCAGAATGGGATACTCCTAATTGAAAAAGTTGGGAGAGTTGATGATTGGTGTGTACCTTGAAAGCATTGGCTTTGACGCCCTTGGTTTTGAGGAGGTTGTAGTTTGCGTTGAAGGATGTGAGTTTGGCAGGGAGCATAGGAAGTTTGACCAGTTTGTTCTCAGCCAGAGATAATTCCTCCAGAAGGGTTAGCTTAGAGAATGCCCCGTCTTCAATCTCTGAGATCAGGTTTCCCGTCAGGTCAATCCTCTTCAGGGTCACTGTTGATTAGATGGGGATAAAAAACTGTTATTACAGTTGTAGCCAGTGAGTCTGAACAGCTAATTTAAAACACTGATGTTTCTCATTGGGGTCAGGGTTTCCCCTAGGATATTGTTTAGCAGTGGTGCAAATCGCCACATCCATGACAAATTGAACTCCTTGTATCTAATTTTCCCCCTGAACATTTTCCTTTTTCCCAAAATTGTGATGTTCTACTTTAATTTATTACTGAGAAGTAAATGTATAATCATTGATGTCACTGTCACCTGTTGAGCTGAATCTTACAAATTATGATTGAACTCTTAAAGTGGAATACTTTCAGATAACATTACAATGTGTCTTATATGTTGCCATCATCAGGAGTGAAGCTGAACTGATTTTGTCGTCATAAGTTGATATGAGTTACTCAGTGGTGGTGACTTTGAAGGTCCTTCAACCTGGCAAACAAGGCTAAGCATATTATGAACCAGACCCCAACATCACCAAACCATAACCCATCAACAGAAGCTGATATCTTTGGTGTATTTGTCATGTTAAATTCTGCTGTCAGAACTCATCACAGGACACCTGTCATATGTCTTAGATGCATGGTGAGCTAATGGAACGTCAGAAGCAGCTAGTCATCTTGTTTTTGAAGGTAAATCCCGCAGAAAATGTTATTTTTACCCTACTTACCCATACCGTTGCTACACTGATGACATGCACCTATACTTCCCAGTGATTTTACTTTTGCATGTCCATAAAGTCCTGACTTTTAGTTCCAAATTTGGGGTAAACACCAAAAACACTGAATCCTACATTTTCCATAATGCAATAGATGGTGTCTTTTCATCAGACCCCTCCCAACATGGAAAACTCCAACATCTTTCAAACTCCACAACTCCAGGGGCCTATGTTACAAACCAGGATTTGAGGTTAACTCAAAGCTGTTCACTTCTTCTTCACTTCGGGGTACACTGACATGGTAACTTATGCTGAACAGCTAACTGTTAAAGATAAGAGATTAACGCTTTAAATGCACCTGCCTACTGACCAATCAATTCTCTTGTAAAACGGCATCACCTTTCTTTAACGATCCCTCAGAATGTTTTATAAGCTATATATTTGTTTTTGTTTTTTTTTCTTTGCTCCCAAGCCCATTTCACATACCCATGTCACAGCTGTTTAAAGAAATGGTTTAATTTTTCTGTTTTATGTTAGGGAAATTATTAGGAGCAGATATTCTTTTTCAAATGGAGTTTTATATGACCTTGTTTATTATAACCTTAGGTTACATTTCTTTATTTTATTATAGAGACTGGACATTTACTGCCCCACCTTTTCCTATTTGGGTGCAGGTAATGTGGTGAGTTTTCAGTTAATGCTGGTAACTGAAGCCGTGGTTAAGATACAGTCTTTCCACCAACTATTTGAGTCCTTTTTATGGCATGAATAGATTTTTCGTTTTGTTGTTATATGAAGTTAATTTAGAACAATTTTTGGAAAATTTATGATTTTTTTCAAGTAAGACGGTAAGATTTTTTTCAAAGTGAGTTGAACAACCACTTATTCAGTGCCACTGGCTTTTAATGTTGAAAAGCTGAAAGAATGAGGATAAAATTGTCATACATGCCATAAGAATAACCACACCCGTTACCTAAGCAATATATGAATTTAATGGAATCACTAATTTAATTTTATTCAGATGATGGGGCAGTGATATTAAAAGCCTGTTAACCTACGCATTCACACAGTCATGATATTCTTCCTGTATTTGGCAGCTGCAACTGTGTTGCTTTTAACCTAGATTATGTGTTTAACTTCTTCATATTTGTCTAATAGTAATGTAGTAGTTTAGGTAGGCTTAATGCCATAAATTGGTAGTCGCCATGAATGAGCTGTGATCACATCACTATGACACCATCACAAGTCAAGCAAACAGCAACTGTTTTCACAGGTTGACTCGAACCAACCATGACTAGTTAACTGAACCTGTAAAAGTAGTGTAATGCTCCTTTTAACACAATTGACTTTCTCTACATAATGAAATGCAGTATAAAATATCTAATCAAAGAATCTGGCAAAGCATTCACCTCCAACTTACCAATTTCAGCAAAGTCTTTAGTGCTGATCTTTTTGATCTTGTTGAAACGGGCATACAGGTAGGCTGTCTCTTTAGGCAGGGTGGGAACACTGGTCATGTCTGGACTGACCTCCTCACAGTATACTGAACCAGTCAGACACACACACAGTAGGCAGGTGGGCAGGTCTGCAACACACAGGCACCACACAAACATCAAGCCGTCTTCAGAATAATCGTCTATGGTCTTGTTTACGTTTATTTTAACCATTTCTCTAACACTATTGTCGATTTAATTGTTTAGCCTATAAAATGTCATGACAATTTCATTAAGCCCAAGGTTATGTGTTCAAATGTCTTGTTTTGTATGATCAAAGGAAATTGCGTTCATCTTGTAAGACAAAAAAAGCAGAAAATCGTACGATTTGTGATGTAAGAAGTAGGTATCAAAATAGTACCATTTTAATGCTTTTATGACTCACACATTCACTACTATAACTCTTTATGTGGGAGTCAATCATCCCTAGCTCACCTTTAGCTAACTCACAATGCAAGACTACTAACTAGCACTAAGCAGAGATAATAATCTTCGCTGTACTGGACTCTCTACGCTGTTTATCAGTGAAATATAAAATTGATTCTTTTTGTTTGGTTTTAAAGGCATACATGGACTCACACCAGCTTACATCTCCAATCCCCACAGTTCCTTTCCCAGTACTTCCCAGTATTTTGCAGTATTTAAATCTGCATGCTTTTTTGGCTTTTCTGACCCACAATCCTCTGCACAGCATGAGGAGCAAGTGGATCAAAGTTCAAGGCAAAATGTTATGATAAAATAGTATGTCCCAGTTGTATGAATACTGCATGCAATGGTACATACTTAGTAAGGGCAGCTGCAGCATGCAGGAAAAATAAAAACAATGCCATTTGGAATGCAGCAAAGGTAAACAGATTTTACTCTTACCAGAGACATCTCCTTCTGGGATTGGGCTGTCATCAGGTTCATCAGCAAGAGGCAGCGCCCTCTGCAGGAGAAAACATGGTCTGTTCATATACGGGCCAGTTCACTGGCTAGAGCAAAACATTTACCCTGCCAGGGTTAGTAGGTCAGTTTTGGAAATATGCCATTGCTAACACATAGCACTGTGTCAAATTTGATACAGTTTGGTGGAAACTAACAGAAGAAATATCTGTACTACATTCTGGTTGATTCAGCCTGGAGTTGGTTTGATAACACTAATACTGAGGTAAAATACAAAATTAATTGTGCTGGTAAACAAGGTGCTTTGGTTTTGGTTAGGTTTGATTAAATGGTTGAACTAAAGAAAAAGAGAGACACCAACCGTTGTACAGTTTTCTCTCACAGCCACAGGCATGTAGACCGGGATAAACCCACAGTTTTATTTGGAGTATGCTATTTACACACTGATGGTGATTGTGGCGATTAGTACCAGTAATCGTAAACAGTGAAGGTGATAACTGAATGTGTGAAAGTAAGAATTGGAGAACAAGAAATTTAGTCTAATAGAGATACTTTTGGGGCTAATAAACTACAGCTAAGTGGGCATGCAGACCGTAAATACCATTGTTTAAAAGTGGTGTTTTGTTTTAAAAAAAAACAAAACAGAAAACAACAACACAAGAGTCTGTGTTGGTACGGGCATATTGCTTGAAGTACATCTGAGAAGAGGAAATACGGCCTCAGTTTCAGTAACAGATCCATGAATTCAAAGGTTTATTAACAGCAAAACAATGTTTAGCATGTAATAGTACTATGACCAGAATTTTTCAACTCTGGTAAGTTATCATCCAGGTGACCAGTAGAATTACACGTTACAAGTCATCTACTAGAAATGTGTGCTTGGATGTATTGGATTGGCGAATGCTGTACATTGTTGGATGATGTTTTCGCAACTTTTTTGCTGGTTGATTCGGCCAGAGACTCAGTATCTGGCCCCCCTGTTTGCCAACACAGTGGTCTGATGGAAATTAATGAGGAGGCTGCAGTTTGTCACACAATTCTGCTGTTTGTCTGTTCCACTCAGGGCCCTCATTATCAAACATCTAACGTTGATGGCCAGGATATATTGGCTGGCAGAGCTTTCTGTAGCAGTCCGCATAATATTCCACAGCTGGCTTCCTGGTGAGAACTGACCACAGCCTTAACTGCTGTGGTGTAGATGATTCTAGTTATTGTTGCAGTGTTGAAGAAATTGTTTAATCTTTATTTTGTGGTGATGACTTTAACTGTTGTCGTGAGCTGCTGGCTCCAATGTCTGATATCTGGTCAATACATCTTTTCAGAAGTGTCTTTGTAGTCACATCGGTCCATGACAGGGCTTTGTTTGTTTGATTTGTGCATTCTTAGCCCCTGACCCCAGAAGCCATTAGACCTTTTGAGCTTGTGATATATTTCATCCTTCAGCCTGAGGATTTTTGGACCTCTGAATGGTCTGGCACTGACAGAGTCTTGTATAAAAAAACTGGTACTTAATTAAATTTTTAGTTAGAGACATTTTTCCTCTCACTTTCCCTTTTATTTTCTGGATTGTTAGTGGGTTTTTCACTTTCTGCAAGTGTTTCCCAAAGGACGAACCAGACCAGACTTTGGTTTTGGTTTGTCCAAATATTTCTTAGAGGTTAGTGTGGTTTATTCTGGGTTTGGTTTGTCAGATGGAAGAAGACTTTAGACACTGCAAGGTGGGTGGGTGTGGGTGGAGGTGGGTGGGTGTGGGTGGGGGTGGGTGGATGTGGGTGGGTGGGTGTGTGTATGTAAACTGTGAACTGAATGAATTATTATCTCTTGGAGGAGGACGGTGAAGTCGAGTGCTAACAGTTTGACAGATTCTGTTGTCTGCAAGTTGGAGAAAACAAATTAGTTGACTAAACATTGAAGTGTAATATCAGTTTTTAGAATAATGTGCATGCATATTTGATTTTGAATATTGCAAACTATTATCTATCTATCAACTACTATCTTATATCTTATGTTGGATCTGTTTGAATCATCACATCTTTTTAATCTTATCTGCTAGCAGACATTTCCCTGATAAGAGAAAATTTGTCTGGTCTGACCAAAATCTTGGTAGTGTCTCTGTGCTCAATTTTAATGTATCAAAAGTAGAATGTTTGTTTTTAATTTAATGGTGTTTGTGGTAAATGTATCCTTATCACTTTTAAGTATTATGTTAATGTGACAACCAACCAAATGTAAGGATTGTCTTCTGAAGTCATGCTGTAAATAAAAGGCAAAAACAACTGTTTACTTGTGACAATGGACTACTTGTGGAAAAATGTGCATACATAATATATATAAATGCAATTGCCAGAGTTTTTAAAGAGAATATATTTTGGTAGAGAAGCATCATGTAAGTAATAAAGTTCTTACCCTAGCCCTCCTTGATTTCAAAATGTCACTGTGGTCACGCACGTATCCATTCAGCTCCCTGACAGGTAGAGATCCCAGTATCAACTGTGAGTCCTGGTCAAACTTCCTGGCCGAGGCTGCCACCAGCCACGGCACCAGTATACAGGTGAATAAGAAAGCCTTCATGCTGTCCAAAGCAGTGTGACGCCGACACACCAGCTCTCCTTAAATCTTAAGTTTTGGGTCAGCAGCTGCACTCTACTATGAGCCCCTGTTGGGATGTCTCAAATGACTGTATTTAAAGGCTGGACCAGTAGCTTCCAGCAGACTCTTAAAGCAGAGTTTATAGAGGAGAGCACTTAACCCTTCCCTGACCACCCACTAGTGAGAGAGAGAGAGAGAGACACACACATACAGGATGCACAGAGAGAGGCAGACACGCCAAAAAAGGCTCATATGATAAAAGTCAAAGAGAGAATAAAGTGTCAATTGTTTCTGTTATGTGCCTTAAATGTGTACAGGAAAAAATATGCACAGCTAAAACTGCAGAGAAAGCAGAAAAATTGAAAGTTGACATCCACAGTGCGAGTGTTTTGTCAGGAGGAATGTCTGTGGTCTCTGCCTGGCCACTCGGTAACGACTCATAATAACCAACCTATCTTTCATTAGGCTGGATGAGTGTTTAGTTTTTTTCTCTTCACTGGCTTGGTTATTATAGTAGCCATTGGTCAGACAACACATTTAGCAGCTGTTAGACAGACACTGATTATAGTGTAAAATTTATGTGATTACTTTGGACTGACCAATAGTAGAATCTGCATGACTTTCTGGACGACAACTCTCACTCTGAGAGGAGTTGTATGCTAACGCCAAGTTAGCTAACTTTTAAAATAAACGGTAAACAACACTAAACACGGCAACACTTACAGCCTCCAAGTTTGAAGTCAGGTCACGTAAAACCCATGGCGATCCGTCCTTTAACCGTTAGAGCTTGTTGCGGACTAATTTATTAATTGAACACACTGAAGTGTAAAGTATGAACATTGCGGTTGTTGCAGTGCTTGCCATCCTCCGTGGTAGGCTTGACGAATAGCACGGTATTTCAATTTTGCGGTTATCGCGACAGCCCTAATTATGACCACCAGCCTAATATTGGGTATGACCCCCTTTTGCTGCCAAACAGCCCTGACCCGTTGAGGCACGGACTTCACTAGACCTCTGAAGGTGTACTGTGGATTCTGGCACCAAGACGTTAGTAGCAGATCCTTTAAGTCCTATAAGTTGGAGTTTGAACACTTGTTTGTCCAGCACATCCCATAGCCATCCAACACCCTGAACTCGTTATGTTCCTCAAACCATTCCTGAACCGTTTTACTTTTGTGGCTGCTCACAACATCCTGCTGAAAGATGCCACTGCCATCAGGGAATACCATTTCCATTAAAGGGTGTACATGTTTTGTTACAATATTTCAGTAGGTAGGATGTGTCAAAGTGACATCCACATTAATGGCAGGACCCAAGGTTTCCCAGCAGAACATTGCCCAAACCATCACACTCTGCCAGCTTGCTTTCTTCCCTTAATCCATCCTGGTGCTATGTTTTCCCCATGTATGCAATGCACACGCACCTGGCCATCCACGTGATTTAAAAGGAACGGGATTCATCAGACCAGGCCACCTTCTCAATGGCCCAGTTCTGATGCTAATGTTCCCACTGTAGGCACTTTCAGCAGTGGACACGGGTCAGCATGGGCATAGTGGAACAAGACCTTACCAACAAACTTTGTGATGGGTTTTACTTTAATTTGTCACCCATCTGTAAGTGAAATTACAGCAGTATTATCAAAGAGGCAGTTCCTTAATGTGGTTATGGGAATGAAGTAATGTGAACATGTACTATGGACAGATTAAGCGTGTCTTAATCCACCTTGCAGTTGTCTTGAGTTTACACGTTCATTTACATGAAAGCTAAATTACAGAAGCTTTTAGAATTGTAGGCACGGACTAACAAATGTCTCACTAAACATGAAGCATAGTTTTAAATGAGTGTCCTGTTGGATTTAGACTGTGCTTCTGACAGAAGGTGCTCTACCTAAACCAACTGAGGACTCGGTTCGTGAGACTGGAGCCAGGACAGTCCCTCCAGCATTTGGTTTCCTTACTGCTTCCTTCCTGATGATGCAGTGTCTTGAATGAGAATGTTGTTCAAAAGTTCAGATGTTTCTCATTTTTGAACATTTTTGACTTTCTGTTCTGCTTTCTGATATGAAACATTTATTTGGTTGTCTCACATAACTTCACACGTAGAGCAACACACCAACAGTGCCACAGTCCTTTGTATTCATTGTATATGTGGAATTAGTAAGTAATATCAGGCAGACTCTACCATTAACAACACTCCCTTAAAGAGGTCATATTATGCTTTTTGGCTTTTTCACTCTCCTTTATTGAGTTATATACCTTTTTGTTCATGTAATAGGTTTGCAAAGTGAAAAAGCCCAAAGTCCAGCCCAAAGGGAGTTTCCATCTCCCACAGAAAACACTGCTCTGAAAACAGCTCGTTTATAGTCCAGCCACTTCCCTTTCATCCCTGTGATGTCACAAGGATGAAAGCTAAATGCGCCTCATAATGCTGGCCAAGCGGCTAGTCCAACACGCCCATTGGCCCGCTTCTCTTCTCAATGGCCCACCCTTCTCTGCTTCTGATTGGCTATTACCGGCCTTTCGCTGACCTGCCCTTCTCGGCTTCTTATTGGCTAGTAGTCCTTAACTAGGAACTGTGCATGTGCAACTCCCAACAAAGATATTGTAGAGACAAGATGTATCACTTGGTAGCTAAAACGAAGCCTTCACACACAGGGTGAAAAGAGGAGCTGCAGCAATGTGCAATATGACAAAAAATAAGGTGTTTTTTGAAAATGAAACCATGTAAACCTGTTCTGGTACAACCTCTAAATAAGATTTTGAACCTGAAAATGAGCATAATACCACCTCTTTAATCAGTCATATGCTTTGTACACTTTGATGCTTATCCTTGATTTGCATGAATAAACTGATCAATAACAATCATGTTAGAAATGGGATTAGTTTGGGAGTTGCTTGTTGTGTTCACAATCATCTTCGGTTGTCCTTAATATATCAGAAGTCTCTTATGAGGCCTACTGACTGTATTTTTGTATGGACCTTTCATATTAACTGTACACAAATGACCAACATCACACATTGGTGCAACATCAGATTAAGACATTTACTTTATTGCTATACGTCTATAGTGTTTTTTGTTGTATAGATTTTTTTTGCCTTTAATGGACAGTTGACCGTGAAGAGGCAGAAAACAGGGAGAGAGAGAGAAAGAGGGGTACAGTATGACATACAACAGTGGTCCCCCGCTGGAATCTAACAGGGAACTTTGCAGTTATCTAGCATACACTGTAACTATTTGGCTACCAGGTTGGTCTTAATTTTTAAAATTTATTTTCATGAATATGTTTTAGATTGTGCCTTTGACTTCTGATTGTTGCTGTTTATTGTCATCAGTGTATTCCTGTGACTTGTGCGTTTATTTCCCTGCCTGCAGACAAAATTTTCATTGGGATGATGATAATAATAAAGCTGACATTGAAATTTAAACGTTTAACCATAAAAATTAAAACCAAAAAATTAAATTGACTCATTGATGACTTGTATCTAATGCAAAAGTTGCACAAACAAATCTGCTTCCGACTTTTCACTTCACCTTTGAGTGTTGCCTTCCAGAACAACTATGAACATTTGATTTCTAACGGTCAGAAAACACGACCACAAACTAGCATAACCCGACACTAATGTAGCCAAGATGTCCCTCTCCCTATCCACGTCCTACAGCTCTTTATGTGGGATACCAAGGTGATATGCTATGCTAACTTGTTTTATAGTAAAGGACTACCGATAGGTGAAATCAAACAACACATATTTTCAGAACTTACCAGGTTGTCCAAATTCCTCGCTTACGTTTCTCTAAGTTCAGTTTAATGTTTAGTGTTTTTATCATATCCGTGAGTCTTCTCAAATAAAAGGATTAAAATAAGTAAAGCATATAATTTCCATCACACCAGTCTCTGTATAACTATGAACAGAGCTCTGTAAGACAGAGACAGACAATCGCAACAGTGGAGATCGGCACCTCTGTGGCTCTCTGCTGCAGACAGGTTGAGAAGCGAGAGTGAAAATAAATCCTCATATGACCAAACACAATTTGCGTGTTCAAGTCCCCCAGCACGAATTTGTCTCTTTGCTTTTACTTTGTATGTAATCACACTGCATGAATAAGTCACTTTGCTTTCTGCATTAGGTTGCTCGTACAGTGATCTCATTCTTTTGGTCATTACCCAGAACTCATGGCTGCAGGTGATTGTTGGAATGTAAATTGACTGAGTGGCAAATTGAGAGCTACACCTCCAGGCCCAGCTCCCTCTTGACCACAACAGTCCAGTACAATACTGCATTACTGCCGACACTACACCAATCCTCCTGTCGATCTCTCAGTACTCCACTCCTCCCTTGTGAAGAATACTCTAAAGCTCATTACCACATCTGAAGTCATGGCACTAGTGAATTTGCCCCTTCAGAGTGAGTTGCTGCCTTTAGTGAAGAAACTCAAGTATCTCAAGGTCATAAATTATCTACTTGTGAAATCTCCTAGTTGAGTTAATTGGTTGATGAACAAAATTAAAATGCTCTTGAATATGATAGAAAAGGGTGAACAGGTTCTCGGTGGTCTGAGTAACCTCCAAACAGAATAATGATGGAAAATGTTTTGAGAACATGTATCAGCTTTTCTTCTCTCTAATTAATGCATCTCTGTGGTTTGATACGTATCAGACCTCTATAGCGAAGGGGTTATGAAGTGCTGTATAGGCAATAACACATCAATAAATAACTGCTAATATGATAAACACAAAAACATGCCAGAAATGAATCAGAAACAGAATTACTGGGAAATGGCAAAAAAGTATGGGAGAAGTTTCCAAAGCAGAGGGGCCAAGGGATTCTCAGTAACAAAAATGAAGAGACTCTGTTCACTCTGTCTTTTCAACAGCTGTTGAGGTCCAGCTGTTCTTGGGTTGATTTCAACCTTGGTTGTCAAACCAGAGAGATGTTGGGCTTCCCCAGAGCAGTTCTAAAGAATTTGCTTTTTTTTATTTTGGTGTCCCTAGACATGGTGAAATGAAGAAGGGGGAAAAAAAAGGATAAGAGACAGTACTTCTCTATAAACAAGCAGAGCAAAAGAGCAAAGACTGAAGTTTA